CATTGCAAAAGTTAAGATAATACTCTCTTTAAGATTATCCCTACATGTTAACAAACAAATTTTCCCTTAAAGGGTCTCTTATCTTGTATTTTCTTTTACTGTGGCAAAGCACACTAAAGAGGTATGCTTTCATGAAGGGCTTTCTAAGGGAAACTATGTCATATCCTAGGTAAACATGGGAAAATCTCCTAAACATCCTTGCATCCGGCTTGTTTGCCGGGATTCCAAGCCGGATCAAACTACCAGGATTCAGTGAACTTACTGCTCTGCCACTAGTTCGCCTTTTTACTCAAAGGACTAGATTTCTTTTGGAAAGTAATTTCACTTATGTATTATTTTTCACCTGATTGAAATACTAGATTTCTTATTATTCTAATAAATTTCTAAAGTAATTAGCGAATTTCATTAAAAGTTTAGTTTTTATGATTTCTATTATCTCTTTCCACTACTACATTTTTATACCTCTCTTTCCAAGAAAAGTGCTGTCTAAAGTGATCCATATATTATACAAAAGTAAGAAACATTTTTCTACCGAAGCAGTTAAAAGAAAAAGTGAAATGTAGAAAATGGTAAACTTGGAAATTTGCGTATAAAATGCGAACATGGGTATATTTTGACAAATATACAAAATAAAGGATATATGCAGAAGATCACTGTTAAATATAATTTAATTATTTTGTAAAGAAAAAGTATATAGTATTTAATATATAGTATTATAGTTATATAATATTGTTACCTACAGAATATCTTGATAAGCATATCAGTGTTAGATGAAAATATTTTGTAAAAGCCACGAGTATGACATTTTTATTTAAACAAACATTTGTTCGATAATAAATATAAAAAATGTATATGGCTATAAATTTATTCTCTTTAACCTGATATATTGTTCTCACAATAAGCTACATTTTTACTTAAAAATTACTTAAATTACTTTTAAATTTTACTTAAAATATAATCTCGCAAATTTAAAGTATAAAAATAATAATTTGATGAAAGAGAACTATGAACACAAGATATGCAAAGTGTTACGTAGTAGGTAAATTAAATGGTACTGCTCCGTTATCGGGATCGGATTCAGGAATGTATGTATGTATGTGCGTATATGTGTATATGAATACATACATACATTCGTACGTACATATATGGATACGTACATGAACACATCCATCCATACATGTGCACATACATACATTTCTGAATTTGGTCCTGACTTTTTTCCGCGCACAAATTAAATATCTATTATTTCACGCAGTGAGAATACCTGTCTTTTATAAATAATAACAAAGCTGCCAAAGTTCGTAAAAGGTATCAGCTATATAAAATTTTAATTTATACCGACATTGTCAAAAAAGTTAAATGAAGATTTATATTATAAGAAGTGCTTTTACTAACTTTAAATTGCTCCATTGGTTAATCAGTAGTAAATTGTTTAAATGTGAAAAATTAATTAAAGATCTGATGCTTTCATTGAATGACAACACTCTAATTGCACATGGGAAGTAAATGAAAGATCTTACATTTCACGGTGTGGCAACTCTCGCCACCTTTTAGATTCTTTACTCATCCATCAAATTTTTGAAGCACATTCATGTCTACAATTTTTTTTTTCCTAATACAGGATTTTAATTGTTAAGTTAAAAAAGAATACATCTCAAAAAAAAAAAAAAAAAAAAAAAGGTGTCTTTTGAGGTCTAATAATTATAACAAACATGAACAAACAATTTGCAAGCAAAATATATGCTAGCGAAATTCTTAGTTTTAACTGATTGTGCCAAAGAATGTAAGAGATATTTGCCTGAAGGAAGAGATCACTTTATGAGGGACTTCAAGGATTTAAACTGGTTTCATGCTGTACATGAGAAAAAACAATGAAAATGCCATCCTATCGAATTTTGAGACCTGTGGACAAGTGGAATATAGCCCAGCGGTCATATCCACTTGTCCAGAGGTGGGCCACTATTGTAATTGTACCAATTTTCTTTATTTCTGGAAAATTTAGTTTAGAATCATCACATCACTTGCATTTTTTATTCTTGATCATGCATTTTACGTAAATACTTGCTTATATGTCTTTGTTGTTAGGTAAGGTTTGTCATTAATAATTCAGTTATGTTTAGCTTACTATGAAGATTTTCAGTTGTCATTCAACACTTATCTGTATGATGAATATAAATTAATTATTTCTTCTTCCATTGAAAAATGGTCTGTCTTTCCCAATTAACTGAGAAAACAGGGATTACTTTAAACAATATTCAATGCCTTTTTATCCTGCTAATATGAGAATCTTATTTCTTAGTAAAATATGTCAAAAACAAAAATGTGCATAAATATGGAAGATTACTCTGATGGTTTGAGATTGATTTTTCCTCTTAATGAAAGCAGTAAGTACATACATTAATTAAAATCAATTAAATTATGGCGAGTTAAATTAATGGCGATATATGCAAGACTACATTCCAAGGGTATGTAGAATCATTAGGATTGAGACAGGAGACTTGAAAAATGAGCAATGCCCTCGAACCTGGACCTCTCGAATACGCGCAGAGTGTGCTAACCATTACACCACACAAAGGCATGTAGGAAGGAGGGAGAAAATACCTTATATACTCCCCCCCATTTAAAAGGCAACTGGAGATTAGGGGACCCAATCGACAAATCCTGGTGATGAACAATCCTCGTCCACTACCTTTTAGTTTGGGCGCCACTGTAGAGTCATCAGGTTTTTTTTAAACAAGAGACTAAAAAATATGCAATGCCCTCGAACTTGGACCCCTCGATTACGCGCTGAGTGTGCTACCGTTACACCATGAAGGCATGCAGAAAAGAGGGAGAAAATACCTTATACTTTATATTATAAGAAAATACCTTATATTTCTATATAAGACTAGCTGCTTACACGAAAAAAGAATGCACAGTGAAATGCAAAAATATTTTTCACCAAAATGGCACAAATATAAAACAATCTAATATGAGCTTCCATTTGTCAACTGCTTTGCAGGAAAAAAAAATAGATTACTTATTATTAAAAAATATACTATACATACATGAACTCAGTATGAAGGCGTTTTGCAAGAAGAATAATTAAATGGTTTAAATACCACACCTTGAGGTAAAATTAATTATACATGTTTTCTTTTAACGTAAAATGTAAGGAAATAATGATAAACTATCTCTACCGTGAAACCAGGAAGGCATGCAGAACAGATGGAGAAAATACCTTATATACTCCCCCTTTTAAAGGGCGACTAGGAATTAGAAGACCCAGTTGCCAAATTGTGGTTGTAAAGAGTCATCATCCACCACCTTTCAGTTCGGGTGGCACTGTAGAGTCATTAGGATTTTTGAGAAAGGAGATGTGAAATATGAGCAATGCCTTCTCCGGTACTCGAACCTGGACCTCTCGAAACGTGACGAGTGTGCTACCATGACACCACGAAGGCATGCATAAAGGAGGAAGAAAATACCTTATAAGTACACCTTCGCGAAGGATTTCGTAAAGGAAACTAACTCGTATCGCCGTTACACTTGAGGAAAAACCATGATAACAATTATGACCCAGCCCCTTCTTCGGGATTAAAACCTGGCTCATACTACCAGTGTTCAGCGACTTAGCCACTCAACCACCAGTGGTATTTATTAGCATTTGTGTCAAAAGTCTTTGCAAAATAATTGCGTAGATAGTTATTAGGTAATAATGAATTAATGTATTAAGTTCTCAATATAAAGAAAACTTTCAATCAATTTCTCACTTTCAGGATTAGAATTTGGAGAGGAAATATTTTATTTTCTGATAATAAAATATCTTTTCAACTGTAATATTTTGTGTGCAAAATATCTAACACAGCCAGACACTTATTGTTTCATTTCTCTTATATTCCATAAATTATAAGAAAAAAAACTTATACCAATAAATTTCTTTCTAAAAGAGTTCCAAGACACGTCAGAGAATTCTCCTCCCATTAAGATTTAAAAATTTTGTTGCATTCCAAATTTTAATAAATTATTAAAACAAAGCTATTGATCTCTATAAATTATTTCAGCATATACATTTACTCGATTTAATTTCTTCATTTAAGAATTTTTTACATGCCAGTTCACGTTTATAGTAAACAGTCAGTCACACATACAAATTGCAAAACTCGGGCATGCTGGAAACAATATAGTCATTATATAAAGTAGAAAGAAAATACCATTAAAAACCCCATTTGAAATTATTAAGGCAAACAAAAGGTTAATTTTGACATTATATATCTTTTTCTTGTTGTTGACAAATCAGAAACTGTAACTAACTTTTAATACCTAGATTAAATAGTCAATTATAAATTATAAGATTTATTAAAAATGCATTTCTGAATTTTTCCTATTTTTACTAAAGATTTGGGGATGTAGTCAGCGACTGTGGATTGGACTTTTCTTATTATAAAGTACCAGAAGGCAAACAGTTGTAAAACAATTTATCTTCTTTCAACGAGTTTGCAAAATAATGTATACTTGCTGTCTGACATTAAGCCTTTACTCAGAGGGCTCTTCCATAAACTGCACTATTCAAACAGATTTCACACCCTATTAAGAGCTTTGTGCAAATGACAGCCGCCTGCGGAAACACAGGAGGAGGGAAGATCTCATGCAGACTCTCAACATGTCTTAAGCATTTATCAGAAAATCTTGCCTTCATGTATGCACGTCTTAATCATTTTTCGAGAAATTTCAGTTCGGTGTATAGCATTTTTAGACCGATCTCTGAAAACATCTTAAGCAGTTAAAGGGTTAAAACATTACTGTGTAATAAAATATTATAAATATTAATTAATGTAGGTAATTGACTGGTAAAAAACGTAAGTCACAATTTTATTAAAATGGAAAGTATGCATTGTGAATTTGTTTAATTTTCAAGTCATAATTATTTAAGAATAATTTTAAAAGCCTAGTGTTTTTTAAATGCTGTCTAAGTGCAATAAATGTTTTACATTAATTGTATTTTGTATCTAATTTTTTAGGCTTGGAATTTTTTATTCCCCTATGCTACCAGCAGTAACAGTGATAAAATTTATAATTCTTTTTTATATAAAAAAGGTACGTTAAAAATTTAACCTCTAAATGTGGTTGATCATTGATAGTTTTTAAAAACTCCTATTGCATTTCATATTCTTTTAAAAGACCTAAGTTTATAATATTTCTTGATTTTTAATTGCTGTTTGAAATTGCCATTAATTAAAAGATATCTATGCTATTTAATTAAAAAATTCTTGTATGAAATCATCATTTCATAGTTTTCTATAACATTTACCTTAAAATATTTCATTGTCTTCTGAAATAAAAAATTAGATAATATAAATTTGCTTAAAAAATCTGCAACATCTTTGTCATTTTAGATACCCACATTAAAGTAGAATATATATTGCTTTTCCAAGAGTGTTATTTCCCCCCTCCTATTATTTATTTTAAAATTTAGACACAACTTTTAACTGAACGTGCTGTTAATCAAAGTGTGTAGCAAAAAAAGAAATAGTTTTAATTTTGTTTCACATTCTACCATAAAATGTTTTGTGTGTATGTAAATTACTGCAATTTTTTTTTTGGGGGGGGGCTTCAGAAATAAATTTTCCTTTCATTAAAGTTACATATGTCATTGGCTTCTGGATAATCTAAAAATGTATGTGTTGTTTCCTTGTATGTGTGCTGGTTCAAAAAACGAATTTAGACATCACATGGAGATGAAATGTAATCATTTTATTGTAGCTAGTATAACTCCAGGTTATATGGGCTCTCATACTCTACAATTTTTATCCCTTCACACTTTAATACTCCAATTTGGGGTAACTTTTGATGGCCCCTGTCTCACTCTCAGGTCCTCCACAGCAAGCTCTGCCCTTAATCTGCTCACTTGCTTTTTTACAACAATACTATATGAGTAAAGTCTCGTGATATCGTTGCTTGTGATGCAACAGTATGTGTTTCTTTACACTATTCATGTATCTGAAGCATTTTAGATATATTCTACTTCTGTGTATAACTACATGTTAAATAAAAGTATATGAAGGCTGTACTCATATTAAAAATTTTAATTTGTACTTTATATAAATTATTTTGCAGCGCTTAGTTCTACATTTTTCTATACCTCCTCCTGTGCCTTACAAAGCATCACGCACAAATGCCATATTTATGATAATTCTGTTGCTGTCATTCTTTGCTGTTTTAATAATCCATGGATATTCTGTATCTAGGTAAATATTAATATTTTCCTCTCTCTCTCTCTCTCTTTTTTTTTTTTTTCCCATACATAGTTTTTTGCTGCTACTTATTTTGTGCTATATTTAAAAGATTTCCAGGAAAATATATTTTGATATTTTCCATTCTCGTAATTTGTAACATATTTTGAGAATATTAATTAGCTTTTATAGTATTAATGGCTAACTGAATAATGAAATTTTAAATTCCTTAAAGCTGCATTAGTTTAAATAATTAATGCCTTTTGTGAATGGTCAACCTAACAACCAAGTCTGAAACATATGTGAATAATTAATTTTAACCATATAACGTTAAAATTTAGTTTTGAGGAACCTCACAAAAAAAATTTCAGTTTTGCTCAGCTGGAGAGAAGAGAAGTAGGATAAATTAATAAATAAATAAAACAAAGTAAAAAATTTCTAACTTATTACCGAAGCATTATAGTTAACTCTTCAGTCTAAAACACACATTAAATACATTTCTTGCTTATCTGGTTATGTTAAATAAATGAGACTTTATGGAAGATTTTATCTGCGGCTCATACACCAAACATATTTTTGAGATATTGAAACTCAGTAACGTACACAGCTTATCTTATACTGTATTAAAAAAGTATAGATAAAAAATGTCTAAAGAACTATACTTCTGTTTTCTATTCTTTTTGAGAAAACACTAAATTAAACTAATGAGAGAAAATGAACATGGAAAGGAAAGCAAACATTTCAACATGAAAGCTGATAAAAATAAAAAGAATCCTTAATTTACTAGAACAGTATTTTTGTACAGCATATGTATCTCATATGGAAAATCTGCTGCATGACAATGTTATGCATGTTGCAATGTATTCCCATTGCAAATTCTTGAAATACCCAACACTAATGCTTTTTCAAATGTACTGTTACATATAGATTCACATAATTTAAATCATCTTTAATTTTCCATTCATAATTTATTTGAAAACTGTACATCACAATTATATAGTTCTTTGCACACTTTTGTTCTTTCACGGGAGGAACATCACAATGTATAATTTAGTGGTATTTTACTGGGCTTCCCATTTATTTACATTTGTCTCATTGTCAAACCACGTTGTGACTCAGTAATAATATGTGACCTTTACGAAAAATAAGTAACTGCATCCTTCTTTCATTTATACTAACTTTTACTATACATTCCTCTAGAAATACTAGTATCAAAAGTTTCATTAAAAAAAATATGGTGTGGATGCCATATGGCTTCTTTGTACGAAATATTTAATTATATGCATTTTTTGCTGCATATCATTTAAACTTATTTCCTCAAATTTCATTTAGATAGATTTCTCATTCAATTAATTCATCTCTCACTTCGCAGCAGAGCAAAATTATATAAAACCTCGTACTTTTTGTGAGGCCGATTGCAACCAAACTAGGAGGTGCCCAACTACATGTTATAGCAGTCCTTTATACAAAATTTCAACATTGTGAGGCCACTCGTTTTTGAGTTATGCGAAATACATACATCATGAAAAAATCTCTGAATCTATTTTAAATAATCCGTTTGGGAGGGGAAAGTCCTTTCATACACATGTCATGCAAAACATCGTTAATTGCGTTCGATAGCGGTCAACATGGATATTTTCGTTGAAATAAGATACCCACAATTTTTCGTGATTACAATACTTCCTTTACTTCGTACAAGGAAGTAAAAAGTAGGGCTGAAACAATACTCAAGTGGAATGAATTATACTGAAATTCTACTACTTTCTCTTTGACTAAATTATTTTTTTTCTTCCATTCCTCACAGACTAAATAATAAAACTTTTTTCTGCAATTTTGAAATTACTAAATTTTTAACTGAACATGGTAATTTCAACTCATATCTGAAGAGAAGAACTGTATACTTTTTATTGTTCAAAATTAGGAAATTGCCTAATGATGTGATGCAGTGAAGATTTATTCTTATACATCAGAAACTGGGTGCCCTTTTTTTAGGAAATAAAATAATTTTCTTTGGATGTCTTCATGTTAAATATCATCCTACTTATTTTAAACTACATAAAAAGCATGATAAATTAGAATACAATTTTTAAAAGTTTATTCAGGACTTTTAAAATTTTTTCTTTAAAAAAAAAAGAAAAGAAAAGAAAATTCTGACAGGGCAATTTTAAAATAAGTCAGCTTGCAAGCTGAAATCGCACTTATTTTAAAATCTCGATATAATGTAGATTTTGCTCAAAGCTATGCGTAGGTCACATGCTTCTGTTTTGCAATTTGAATTGTTCGGTATAGGCTTTTTCACCCTTTAATTTAACGATAAAATTTATTAACTTAGAAAAGAAAGCAAGTATTTTTTATAATGTAATATTTTTTGAATGCAGAAATAAATTTAATTTCCTTTTTGCAATGTTCAAAACATAACATGCAAAACTACATCACTAAAATTTTTTAATTTTGCTTGACAATATGTATATTATATACATGCAAAAATATGTTGATTTATTGTAATATTTTTAAAAAAATGTAATTGTTTTTATTGTGTATGAAATTATTGTGATTATGCTTTTTTTCCATAACTATATGCACCTTTTTCGTAATACATTTGAACTAAACTGTATTTTTAGCATTGACCCATCACCAGGATGCAGTCCTTTCCGCTATGAGGATGTTATGATTAATGCTATTCCAGATGCTGTGTTTAGCCAGTCTCCAAAATTGATAGAATTCATAAATTTTATTTTCAGTGCCTTCTTTTTCTTTCCAGCATACATATTTTTAGGGTAAGTGCTATAACATACTTGTATGAGTTTTGTAACCAGTATAGTTTAAATTACCCCTTATAGAAATGGAAATTAAAATTTTATAAAACAAGGAAGAATTTTTTATCACTTTCAGCTGACTAAATCTGAATATTATAAATCTTTTCAAATAAAAAGGCAGGCACCGATAATAGGTGAAAAGTCATACGGCGTCTGGCAATCATTAAAACAAGCGGTTCGTCTCCCTGCCTGTCTGAACAGGAAAATTGTCTTATTTGAACGCTCCTCCCGGGGGTCAACTCGGGTAAAACCTGGGAAGCTACTGATTAGGATCTGTACCTAGGCAATATCGGCCACGGTGTTTAGTTTAAAATCAATTTCCACAAGACTGGAATCACTGCGATGGCTGTTTCAGGCTTGGCATTCTCGTTTGTTCTGTTGGTTGTCGTTGATCTACATAGTCAGATATTCATGGTTGTCCGGGGCGAAACACCCCCCATCGGTGGAGTTGGCGAATTCAGCGAGCCTTTAAACTGCTTGAGGTTTCCAGTGGGCATCTGGAGCCTCAAAACTGCATATTTATGTCCTTCCTTGGTTTCCTTCTGGGGGCGCCTAAAGCCAACATCTGTATACCACGATGTAGTGTTTGCAGGTCGGATTGGTGGCTCAGTCTGTCTGACAGTGTTTAAGTGACTTCATTCTGCTGTCCGGGTTTGGGGCCTGTGTTGATGGCAGATGTTTTTACCATCCCTCCAGAACGCAATGTGGAATGTGAGTCGCTAAGTATTCCTGTCAACTCAGTTTAGTCTTAGCTCGTCGGCTCAACCGAGAGGTTAACGGCCTCTCATGTCTGTATTTTCTAAATTAAGCTACCTCATACAAATTAATATCTGTTCTTGGTGGCTGACATCAGGGGTACAATCAAGTAAAATAGAAAAATAATTTGTCTGTTTGATCTTATTTAAAATAATTTGCTTTATATTATCCCCTAATAAGCTAATTGTTTCACTTTTAATTTTATCATCAACGTAATAAAGCATATTTTTTTGAGTTTGAACTTTTATTAATATGTAGACATGATAGGGTCAAATTTTGTGATCATTTCTATACACTTTAAAAAATTATTATTTTTTTCGAATAACTTGTTTCTGGAACCACGGAAGGCTGTTTTGTTTGGCTAAAAGCTGAATGGCATAGATAACTCTTTCAATAACATCGCGCCAATGCTTAGTCTCTTTTTTTAATAAATTTTGAAATTCCGAATCAACAGGTTTATTCTTTCGTAATCGTTCTAAGAAATCGGACCAAAGATGTAGACTCCAGAAATGCATTTTATTTTTTATGGAGTTTTAAGTGGTTCCAGTCATTAAATTCAGAACTACTCAGTTTTACGTTGCTGAAACTGTTAAAGATATTTCAACAAAAACAGTAAAGAGAATTTTTTCAGCAGAATATAGCAACTAATCCCTTTTAACTCTTTCGTTGTTGATGGACAACTAATGCTAGTAACGTCAGCTTGGGTATTCCCTGGGTTTTGGAAAAACTGAGTAATTTTAAACTTTTTGTTTATTAAGTCTTCCTCTCACTTTCTTTTTCTTCATTGCATTCTGATACTCAGACAGTTTTTTCTGTTTTTGTTCCGACATCTGGGGAAAGATGAAAACAAAAAAAGCGGAAGTAAAAATAAAAGTAAAAAATAACTATTATGAGAACTATTGCATAAAACACTTCTTAAAAACACTCAGTCACTGTTTGAAATATTTTACCTTACTTCTGAAATACTGAGTATATCTTAAACCATTGCTTGGAAAATATATGAACTATTAGATCAAAGCAAATAATTCAAGGAGGTGGTAGTACTCTTTTGTTTATTAAAGTAAATAAATCAAATTTAAAGTATGTATTTAAGACGTAATGAAATAACGAAACATTTTTCTTCGGTTTTCCATAAAAGCTAAAAATAGGAAAATGGCAAATTTTTGATTTCAGAATACCTTGTATATTTTTACTTCTTCAAATCTCAAATAGGTATATTTTAAATTCAGTGGTACTCTGTAAACATGTCAATTCTTTCTTCTGGAAAGATAATAATTTTTAGTTTAATAAACAAATAGTTCACGTAAAAAGAACATTTTTTGAGTAATTATGCTCATCGTCGCTTTTCTGAATTAAAAAGCTAACCTAAGTTTCATATAATATATAACTGCACTTACCTTCTTTATGTAGAATAACAGCAAACAGTCAAAAAAAAAAAAAAAAAAAAAAAAAAAAAATCATAAAAAAGATAAATATTGAACAAATTACGAGTACTACCATTGCAACAGCAGACACAAAATAAGGACTAAGCAATTTGTTGATCGTGTCCATGGTGCCGGCTTGTACGCATCGGCACCACGTATTTTCATTCACATATATTTACAAGATCAGCTCAACTTATGTCAGAAACTGCAAAGAGCATTAAAAATCAAAGCGATATAAATAGTATAAATCTTATGCATGAAGTGCAGTTTTTTCAAACTTTTGGAGGAAATGTAGCATTGCCGGCTGACACTCTAAACTATATCATTGTCAACAACATTGCGGTGTGCAAAAAGAAATTTTGGATATCTCTCTAGATATCAGCCCTATAGCATATTTCTTGCTCTTTGTAATCACAGTTTCTAATCGACTGTATTAACTGTTTTGTTAATGACTGTTTGTAATCACAGTATCTAAATTAATTTGTTTTTAATTTTAAGATAATATTGTTCAGCAAATAATGCTCACTTGTCTGACCTATAGTCACGAAATTCCTCGTGGCAAGGAGTGCAAGGTACGCCTGTCATTGGCAACAGCCTTGAGCACCTTACAGGTGACAGTGTAATTTAGCTCAGTTTCGCCTCCAATTTGAATGGAGAGCATCCTGGGGGACGAGTCCGAACACCTCTTACCCTACCACCAAGCTTTTGAGAGGACTTTCGCCTCACATATTTAGAATACCCCCCATGCCGCACGGACACTATACATTTACAAACATCCATGCCTTCTCGAAGATTCGAATCCGGGCCCTTCGGCACCGCCGGTTGGGCAGCATTTTGTAATATAAATGTATGCATAATTCTTCAATAAATATGTTTGATTGTGGGTTTTAACAAAACACAAAATGTTTGCATACTTAGACAAATTAAAAGATACAATCAAATTTTTTGTTTTTCATAATATGTTAATAATACTTCATTTTAAATATTAACCATAAGCAATGTCCCTTTAACATCTTCACTGCATAAAGGCGCTCATTAGACATTTGCACAACGGCGCTGATTAGGCTTGGCGCGGGCCTGCAAATAAGAATTATTTTCTAGCTACAAGTTACGTAATTGTTTAGAATTTAACTGCAGTGATTACTATAAGTAATAAAATTCCTGTTCATGGTCTGTTACTGTGATGCAGTTGACGGAATGTTTAAACAATTTACTATTTTTATCTTTGCAATTTCTATCTAGTTTTATCTCTGCAATATTTTTCCCCATTTGGGTGTAACATAGTAAAATTTCTTGCATTAAATTTAAATAAGAAAAAAATTACCGTATTTGCCAACGTATAAGATGCTACCCCTTTTTTATACACATTTTTAAAGGATAAAACTGTATTACTGATCATTATAATGAATTTACAGCATTTTTAATATAAAGTAATACACTGTAATATTTTCTTCAAATACCCAGTCTAGCTGGGAAAGAACACCTTTTAATCTTCTTCGTCAAAACTCAGACACTCACCTCCACAGCTAAATGGAAGGTCACTTGAATCCTCTTCTAAATGAGCATTCGAGCCCTCATACAACAAATTGTCCTCTGTATCATCCATTGCGATCGTTGCACAAGTGAATTCACTGAACTCTTGTAATATTCCCACACTCCGCAAGGAAACAAGGAAAACTAATCACATAATTCCAAATACAGGAAATTTCCAGAAATGAAGGTAATCAAAAACTGAGTATCGACGTATCAGACGTCCTATTTTCAAAGAAAAAAAGTGCGTCTTACACACCAGCAAATGTGGTATTTTTCCCAGTTACATTGTTATGTTGATGTGACTTACCTCACTTATCCAACTGTAACATCAAAGAAATCCACCGATTTTATCATGCCGAAGAATGCATCTGTCGTTGCCATGAGAGCCTTGTAGGTGACAGTAACATTGCTTTTTAAAAATAATACACATCAAACTAATCATAAATGCTGAACACTCTAAAGTCACTTTTGAACAATTCTGCTTGAAAACCTTTAGACAGCAGTATATTGCTATACTTAGGTGAGATAACAGAAATATCTCAGTATAATCATATGTGAACTTTGAGCATCTATAAGTGCCCAATAGCTAATAAGATTAAATTTTCTTTGTGAAATTTGTATAAAATACTGATGCTTTTTGTTTAACATATTTGCAAAATACTGCTTTTTATATGTCTTTTTTTTTTTTTTTTCCCCTCTAAAGATTATATATTCTAATTAATGAATACTGTATCTCTTTTAGCATAGCAATGTATTACTATTGGACGATATCAGTAACCCACAGAAAAATGGTCAAGGTTCTGAGAGCACAAATAGCCTTAGAAGGAAAAGATAAGCAGTTTCTTCTAAATCGAATAACAGAGGCTGTTAAAGAATTTAAATTTAATCAAAACTCTAATTGAATTGAGTAATTAAAAGATGTTAAATCATAATCAGCAATTTTAATTTTTATAGCCTGTTGATGTACTTGATATTGTGACTTAAATTATTAAAAACAAGTGCATTTATGTTTTTTATGATGTATTTGTAAACATGATCATAACTTTTTAATAGTCGTAACTTTATATGTATATACATAAATATACAATAAAAGTGAAAAATTAAAAAACAGATCTTCTCATTTAAGTAAAATACACTTTGTCCACAGAAATCCTTGTGCGATTTTTATTTTTACAACTGACTGTGGTAGACATACATTTGCAGTTACAAAAATGTTTTACAGGACACAAATATTCATGTTTTGGCTTTTTTAAATTTAAAAAAAAAAAAAAAAATCAATTTTGTAAAAATTATGAAATTTCACTTTTTATAAGTTCCTCTGTTCCCTGTAGAATCTCTTGTATTTAAGAAGAGTTGTGAAAAATATAATACAAAAAGGCCTGCTAAAGTGTCTGTTAAAAAATAAATCAGGCAAATATCCCAGCGACAAGCAAATTACAAAAATTATAGAAAAACTAAAAATACAAAAAAGCATAGCACATATTTTAAGATGAGCTATTTAAAGTCACGGCGCATAACAAAGTGACCGAAGAAAAAGTGTATTCTATAAGAAGGCATGAAAATTAAAATTTAGCTTACAGTATTCACAAAAGTATTACGTCAAAGATATTAGGATGGAGAAAGGAGAGGAATGTATATTCTCTACAATTATAAACATTCCATCCAAGTATATATTCAATACCCAAATATTCTGAATATATAATTTTATTGCATTTGTGATACATATATATGCATCCAATCGTTGACAATTCCCTTTCCTTATTTAATTGCAGAATTTGATTTATCGAATGTATAATATTTATATATACTATATTTAATAATGATCTAATAGTAAACAATTACAAAAATATAAATTTTTTAAACGGTATTAAACATTCCTAGGATATTTTTCCATCATTTGACTATTTGTATGTTCAAAGGTCTTAAACATAATCAAAGAGCTCTTGTTTTCACATTTGAATACAGTCAAAAGTCGTTAATCCGGACTCGTCGGGACTTCGGCGATTCCGGATTATAGATCATCAGTTTAAATCTCGTAAGATGGCACGCAGAAATTCTAAAATTAAAAATATGAAACCGTAATTTATGAAATAAAGAACAATTATGATCTAAAGGGTATCAAAATTTGCAAAAAGAAAAAGCTTAATATTTATTTTTTTACTTTATTAAACATTTCTTTCAATGTAAGTTGTTTAAGTTTTGCTTCGTTTCATGTGATAATACTTTCTCTTTAATTCTATTAAACAGAACATAATTTCTTGTTCAGTTACAAAGTTCCGCGCTGTTCAAGTCCTATAATTGCTGTGTCGAGAACACCGACTAATTTGTCAATCGAAATTTTTTCGTTTTCAATAACCTCTGTCACTTTCTTCGCTATCCGAAGCGAATTATAATGACGAGTAACTTGTTTTAAATCATATCAAAGACGGAGCATATCGAGATGAAATACTACATTTGGTAAGGAATTATAAGCCAAATAAAATAAAAACATCTGCGCTGAAGATAAGGATAGTGCTGACAGATCAATTTCCAATTCATTACGCGCCCGTTGCGCCGTTCCCGCCGAGCAGCGTGAAATTGATAAACAGATTTCGGATTTCAAAACATACTTTCGCTTTAGATCCTTTACATATTAACAAATATATATCGGAAATTCTATTTGATATAATCGAAAGTTTAAGCTTACTTTTATAAAATTGCTCTTACAGTCTGCAAAAAATAATAAGCCGGATCCAATTCGAAAATTAAGGAACAACGCAATCATAAACATTAACTGAAATAGATAATTTTAGCTTATACGTCCATTATACATAAAACGCGCACGCGAAAACGTATTCTGCACTTGCGCACACTCATATGCGCAGTCGTATGAAACAGTAATGCTAGTGAAAAATTTGTAAACCTACGAATTAAAACGTTTTTACTTTCCATCAGCCGCCCAGACAGTATAGTGGTTAGGGGAGGCTACTGCATTACCGAAAGGCCCAGCTTTGAATCCCAAAGAAGGCATGGATATTTGTAAATGTATAGTGTCTGTGCAGCATGGAGGCACTCCTTAATATGCAGCGAGTCCTCTTGAGAGGTTGGTGGAAGGGAGACCCTCGGACCCACTAACAAACTGCCAAAAATAATGCAATTTTTAAAATATAATGCTTTTTCTTTTTTAAACCTTTTCTGTTCACATTTTGAACACAGGTCAACAAAATATTATTCTCCTGCAATTCATACGTCAAATATAGCTTGCTCACATACAGATCTGTTTTTACATTTATTAACTGCATTATATTTCTGACAAGACGCATTAGAGTGAATTTTTGGAACAAAATGTTGAATTAATTTATGCCCCGATGTTAAATTTTGAGTACTCCATCAATTAGTTTCTGAAGAAACGTGCCTATCAACTATGTGTGGAATAAAATAGCACTTCATAAAGATGGCAGTATTGCAGTGCACATACATAATTTCTCAAATACTCTAGTAAGCAGAAGAAATTAAAAATATATATTAAACAGAAGAAAATAAAAATCATGGAAATTTATCAAGATGATGAATAGAGGTTTTTATTCAAGACAGAATTAAAGATATTTAAGATTTAAAAGTAACAAAAATAGTAGCTTTATTGATTATTTTCTTGTATAATTTTTATTTAGTTAATCAGTAAGAAAAAAAAAACTAAAGTTTTATTAGTTACCATAAACTTTTTTTAGTTTAATGAATAAATACTTACGTTGGCAACTTTCAAATGCAGAGTAATTTTTATGCCTAGGGCATGAGAATTATGAAATGATGTAGCCAACACTGGTACAAAAATATTTACACATCATTCTCATGACATATACAACAGAAGTATTTCTTCTTTTAATTGGAAAGTTTTCTTTATTACAAAAGTATGCAATGTTAACTCTGCACCTAAATTTACTTTTATTATAGAAAATATTTTTTCCCGATCAATCTGGAAAATAAATTCTTAACTTCATTTAAATATTGTATGCCATATTCGTGAGTGGTTCTTATTTGCTTGAGTCGTTAACATCATTTCAACGTGGCAAAATTATAAGTAATACAAACTGTAGACATACATTTCACAGAATTTTCAGCAAAATCATAATTGCAGAATTCAAACTAGAAGTATGGAAAATGCTGTTATTACCAAGCATATTACGAAGAAAACTTATTTTTATGAATCATGTCATGAAATTCTGAAATGAAAAGCTGTCCGCATTACTGATTCTTATACAAACATAACTTCACACATAAGTTCATCCATTTATTTATTTTGAACAATAAAATTTTACTGCCAGTTTATTTTTAATTCAATTCTTACTGAATTTGACATGCATTAAAAGAAAAAAAGGACTGTGATGTAATTTTTGGTGAAAAGATGTTATTTTACCATTTTTTTTCCAAGTTATCAAGTATAAGCTAAAACATATTCAAATTATATATATGTATAAATAACATCAAATCTATGGGAATCTGAAGAATTTAACAACTGATTTTCAATAATCTAAAAATTCACATTATCAGATTTTGAATTACTTCAAGTTCACTATAATTTCTGATAAATAACATAACAGGATACTATTTAAATGCAATTAATGACCATCCATTGTATTATTCTATAAAATTCTCTAGAGATCTAAAATGAATTAAGACCATATAAGGAATAATCAAATAATTTCTTCAGCTAAATATTACAGCCGTTAATTAGCAGTATTTATATTTCATAAGAAATTACTGAAAACATCAATATTACAACATCTATAACAAATACTTTTTCCAATCTTGATGCAATAAACTAGATAACCTATTATTAGTTTTAATGTTATTCACAATTAAATGAAATCATGAGTATTTTTTTTTTTTTTCCCCCACGAGGTGGGAACAATGTTTTCTCAAGATGATTTCATTTTAAATGTTTTAAGCAACACATTCCTTTTTCGTTAAATTAATATAGAAAAAAGATGCCAAATTTTGCCTAGTTTTATGAATCCGAATATAGCACATACATGAAACTGATTTTATTTTTTAAAATCTAACATATTTCATTTGATTACAATCTGAGATTAAACCTGGATGACCATAATTAAAATTTCAATATATACATTTACACAACCGAACTAGTATCATAATTTGCTACAGTGAGGTTTAACCCTGTTACAGAATTTCTTTAAAAATAATGAACATTTCAGTACGTAATATTTAATTTTTACACATAAAATTAGAATCCCTTGAATAAAGCTTACAGACAAATGTTACTTTCTTCCTTCGTAACAAAAGTTTACCTCACTTAACAATACAACAATTTCAACTTTGCTCACATTACATTTCAGTATATATATATATATCTATACACAATGCAATTAAAATTTCTTTTATACATATGCACAAATGATGTTTTTACAGTCTTCAGTACCAACAATACTGGTTGTGTGGCCAATAGCACTCATTTCCATAAATCTGAGACAGTTTAAAAAGATTCTTATAAAATATTTACAAAATGTTTATAAATCTGCCCCAAAATGAAAAATGATAAAATTGTGAAATGTCACAAAATGGAATAAGGCATTCCATTTCATTTTCAGTTTATGTGAATTAAAAGCACTGACAGTATTCATAAAATCTTTCCAATTGATAAACCCTCTCATACTTTTAAAATTAGTAGAATGGCCCTTTTAGTCATGATTTCTCCTTCTTCTTTAGTGGTCTTTTGCTAATATATTTGTTAACCATTTCAACAATATTTGCTTTATGGTCCAGTACTTTTATTGCCAGCTGTTTTGATTCTGTAACTTGTTCCTGAACTATTTTACTTCGTTGCAAATTTCCCTGAAAAGAAAGTTACTAAATGACATGGCAATAAGATTATTTTTCATTTTTATATAAAATGCCCCTCATAATCTGTTAAATACAAATTAACTATTATACCACAAATGCTGTTACAGGAAATACATAGTGACACATTTTCAAAAAGACTCTCCAGATTAATAAATTAACTCTCAAGAATCAAGGTTTACAAAGGTATAAATTTAATACTTTTCAAGAGTCTCTTCATAAGCATAATACGAATTATTAAATAAGTCTAATGTAGAATATATTAATTTAAATTTACAATAATGTACAAAATATTAAGTTATTTTTTGACTAATTTCATATGATTTTGCAATTTTTTAAAATTGTATGCTAATGAAAACTTTAAAAAGAGGAACAAAATATCTACATATCTCTGTAATGGATACAAACTATTTAAATAAAATAAAAATTAATCAGAAAAATTAGCCTAAAATTCTCAGAAATCCCAGCCTAAAATTCTGCTGGGAAGATTTTGAAATGTCATCATTTTGCCTTAGCCCATTTTTAAGAATGTTTCATGAAAACTTTATGCATTTAATTCTGATAATTAAAAAACCAATCCTTCCATAATTATATTTGAAAGAAATTATCTAAATTCAGATAAATTAAAAATCAGGAGATTCAAAGCTCTACTGGGAGACTGGATAATGAAAAATTTAATCTCCTGATTTTATTGGGACATTTGGCAGCTCTGCATCTTTAATATCAATTATCTAAGGACCAGCTGGAATGGTCCATGTTAATTTCTTACACAGACAAATTTCAAAATTTTAAACCTTCCTTTTCTCAAAAAAAAAAAAGAGTTAAGAAATGGTAAATTTTGTAATGAAAAAAAATAATAATAATAATAATAATGGACCAATGCAAATGTTAAAGCTAAATATCTTCATATCTGCTTCTGCAACTGAATGCAAATACTTTTACCAATCTCGACACATACTCTCAACTCACTCAGAAGAAAAAACAAAGAGATGAATATATGAACTGCTGGTCATCTACCATACTTAACCTCTCTACCAGAGAGTTCTTAACTAGAAAGATGGTATGTAAATTTTATATATCCAGAGCAAAGCCCATTAGAATACATATTTCAGCCTACAATATAAAGCACCCAAGAAGGGGCAAATATATGTTGAATGGAGCAAGGAACTGGTTATTTAGTGTATTTAATTTTCAGACCTCATCTGATGTCATCCCAATTTTTGAGCATTAGGCCCACTGAAATGAACTCCGGATAACTGCCATGCCTTCCACATTCAGAGAGCATGGATTTGGAAAGCCTTTTTGGGACAAAGCTGAAATAATCTGGAAAACTAGGATTTCTTATGGTAGAAATTAAGGTATGTAGTACAGGGTTCGTACACATTTCTGCACACGGAAATTAAGTACTTTTAAGGACCGTTAATGAAAAAAATTAAGGACCTATGAACAAATGGGAACTGAATAAATTCAATTGAAGATATTATCTATGGCTGAATTTCCCTTTTGCAATACAATCCTAAAAATAAAATAGATCCCTAAGTAGTACAAATTATTGCTAAACATGAATTAATTAACATAATTGTTAATAAGTTTGAGAATAAAATAAACTTTATGCAATTTATCAAGTAGTATAAATATTTTACACTTATAATTGTTGGTCATATTTGAAAGAAGATAAGTGACATTTACGTTTTACTAAAAGTTAGCTTTATGCTGATTTTTGTTACGTCTCATTTTGTCACCTACTTGGTCAGTCTAGAGGTTTAGTAAATAGCAGGTAGATTTTATGTTAAACTGCATAGGTTAAAATGAGAAGTAAGATCATAATCAGCACGATTCATAACCAAAAGACTGAATGTTGTCACCGCTGCTGCTTGTCTAGAGAGAGACCTGCTGATTAGAACAAACCTGAAAGGCCTGATGTAGGCAAGGTTGGCAAGTGTTGAAAAGTTGGTCAAGTTCTGTTTCATGCAGTTAGTGTCGTAGCTTCATGTACAGTTCCAGGGGTTGTAACCCAGTTACTTTAAGGTTCCAATAAGCCATTAAAGCATCAGAGGCGATAAGTTGTTTTGTATTATTTTAAGTCTAAGTAGATGCATAGAATATGTTTTGAATTTTTACATTTTTATAATTTATCTTGTGACCAACCACAGTGAGTATTAATGAAAGGCAATAACTCGCTTTAATATGTAGAGATAATTTTTAAGAGTAAGCAGTTAGTTATAAATAATTAAATTAGGTAGTTTGATAACCATTATGGGTTTACATGACCACCATTAAATTTTATTTTTTAACAATATTTGTTAAAAAAGCCCTATTTAAATCAAAATGTAATAAAATTTCACAGTTTAAAGAAACAACAGTCAACAAAATATTTATCTGCCATTTTAATTTGAAGCCTTCCCAGACATTTTGGCTAGTTATATCGATTTCCTTCTCTTTAAGCATCTTTTCTAACAATTAAAGATTTGTCTCAATATGCAAATCAATGCTGTCGCTAGTTTCTGCGTCTTTATCTCCTAACTTGTCAACCTCTCCACAATGTACCTATGAGGGTTTAATTGATCTGGTAAAAGTTAAATAGTCCAAAACTCCTGACAGGCGGGAAGCATATTATCGCTATGTCTGAAATTAACTACAATAATATTAGAAAAAGATTTAAATAAACCTCTTATTTAAAAAGAGCTCAGAACATAAAGGCATGTTCTGATGCTAACAAAATCAATTACATCTCATGGTGATGTAATTAAACAAGAACAGTCAAATTCAAACAAATAATGTGGACTAGTGGTGAAAGATTATACAATTTAATTTTAATTTAATCTGGCTCAATAACGCTATCATATGAGGAAATAGAAATGGGGAATTATAGTAAAGGTTGAAATCATAAACAATTGGGAAATTTACATAATAATAACTGCATATATCTTTGAAGAATAATTTCCTTTATGTATTCAGTTTCTTTCTTCAACACGTTTCCTTTTCCTTTTAGAATTTTTTTTTTTTATTTAATTAAGGATTTAATTTATTCTAAAAAACACTAAATGCATTTAGAATGTACAGAAAAGCAGCTAATTTTATTTCTTTAGAAATATGAACATTCAGAAGCAATATGAAATATATATAGTAAAGGCCAGTTAGAGCTGATGTATCAGAATTTCTAGAATTTAGTGACACACTGAACATCAAAATCTAGAAATGGCAAAATGTTTAGGATTTATAGCAGGCATTGGAAGCAGAATTTAAGATCCACAGAGATTGCATTAGGTGGGAAAATGCCTAGTGCTAGCTATGTGTATGATGCATTAAGAAATATTAGATGAATCTTTTAAATTGTAAGTTTTCAATTTCTTTATTAATAAAAAAATCCCTTTCTATAATGCCTGGCCATGTGATAAAATCAGAAGCATTTTTGATATTCTCCATGCATCTGTCTAGTGAAAAGTAGAGAAAATAAAGAAAAGATAAATATGTTAAGATTCTAATAACAGAAGTAAAACATTTAAATATTATGTTTTCATTGTTCTTCCAGATGTTCTCCAAAAATTAAGAAATTCATTGCAAACCTTCCGTAAAATACATCCATTACATGTTGATACCATGGAGACATTTTTCATTTTGTCATATATTTCTCGAATCTTCTAGAATCGTGGGTCTATAAATCTCGCCTTCAAATCCTTCTAAACTTTCCAAGCTGCAATGTCTAAAATCTTAGAGAAAAATTATCCCTACCAATTCTGTAACAGCAAAAAGCTAGAAATATTTTGGGAAAAAATACGAGGGAAAAAGTATAAAATTAATTTTATAAAGAAAACTGATGCTCATTCTGAGAATTTTGAATATTCTGAGACAATTACATGGGAAAACCTCTTACTATGAAAAAATTTAAATGAAGACATTTTTTAATTAATTAAATAGCTAATTTTGCTTTTGCTAAGAGCTGTTTCGTAAATTGTGCTTTATAGCATTATACCTTGTTTATTTTTCAGATTTAAAAAATTGTATAATAAGTTGCCAAAGTAAAACTTTATAATATTACAGTGAAAAATAAAAATGTCTTATTTCAATGTTATTTTTTAAACATAATTTCAATATATTACCATTATTTTAATGAAATTTTTTAATGTTACGATGTTTTACAAAAAATCATCGAAACATTCTCAGATCTCGGAATTAAAAAGTTTCTATAGAAACTAATCTTAAAATCGCCAAAATGTTGAAAAGTCGCCAAATTTAGAACAGTTTAATAAAAAGAATTGACATCCCCAAAAGCGAAAAGTTGTTTAAGAGCTCTTTACTAGAAAAAATGAATTTCGAAAGGCTCATGTTTCACTTCTTGCTTAGAAACTCGAGCATCCTATCATTTATATTAAAAATAGAAACAAATTATAACTCATGAACCCATTCAAAAGATAATCATATATAAGGCAGTGAATCGCCAAAAATATTCCTCAAAATACTAATTCACACTCAAAATGACAGTCGAAAAACAGACAGAAATTTCAGATGATTAAAATTAAGGACCTTCTACTGATTTTGGACAAAATTAAGGACTTTTAAGGACCAAAAATCAATTCCAAAAAATCTAAGGACTCTTAAGGACCGTACGAACCCTGTAGTAATGTAACTTTAGTAGAAGTCGCCAAATTTTCAGAATGTGCTGAACTCTGGCAACCATGTTTACAATATTCCTTCAGTTAAGCAAAGGTAAGTTCACATGCCTTCTTTTTTGTTGTATTCCAAGTTCTAATAATGATTTTTATAAACAAATTATGATTCCACCCCCCAAACTTAGTTTTAAAATATAAACTTATGGAAATTGTGGCAAAGTTTTTGCAGGTAATACAGAATTTTGCTGAAATATTTCTAAAGAGAACAATGATTTTCTAAAGTGAAAACAGATCGCAGTGTACTTCACGACAAGAACAACGCACTAAAATTTCAGAAAGATCTGAAGAATGTAAGGGTTTTATTTTTTAACGTATCACATAATCCTTATTTAATAACTGAAATTGCTAAAGTAATTTCAATTTCAATAATTTAAATTCCTAAAGTATGCATTCTTTTTATGCTGATAAGGTTTACGACTTACAATAAATATTGATAGTTTGGGAATCTTTCTTTAAAAAAAAAAAAGAGAAAGGCATGAAAATCACCAACTTGTACCCATAAGTAACTTTTACATTATCATCTTTAAAAAATCACCAAATTGTGCCAAAGTGGTTGCATTAATACCTAAGTACTGAAACTAATTCAAACCTTCAAATCATATTAATGGGAGACAGTAACAGAATCACTGATGCCTGCGGCATGGCATTTCCTGGGTGAATTCAGTCCACGTTCACTTCATCTGGATTATTTATAGTAAAATTTTTTTCTTATCTTTTTCGGGATTAATGGAAATCATGTAATAAAAAATGTGTATTATGTGATACATCATAAATAAGGATTATGTGATACATGATATTACAGAAACATGATTTCAGGATATAAAAAAGTAAAACAGGTAATTCATATTTAAATAATTTCACTGCTTATTGCATGAAATGTAAATCGAGAGATATCATTATGATTGAGAAACTGACTACATAAGATGATTAATGGGATTCAGACAAATAACCATATAGCACCAAGAATGAAAGTAATGTTAAGAATATAATAATTTAAAATTACTATGAGTAGTGGTAATAAAAACTCTATTTTTTAAATATATTTTAAAACAATATTTTTAACATAAGACAAAAGTTATGAATAAAAAGAAATTTCTTTAATTAATTTCTAACTCTTTGTAGCCAATTTCTTGGTTCCAAGAAGCATAAATAAACTAGTGTTTTCAAAAGAAACCACAGAACTTACAAAGTTTAAATATTTCACAGTATCAATTTATTTTTTTTCCTACCAGCATTATTCACTATATTTGTAAAGAATTTTTTAGTTTACTAATAGTATTTCAGTGGGGTCTGGTTTTTTCGAAAACTATTTATTTGACGACATTAAGATGACTCTGGTGTTAATTTAACTTAATTTGAAATAACAGCCTCAACTGAGTTTTTGTTGTATTTGCTACAATGGGTAAATGGCAATCTATTTTAATCTTGCAGTACAGCATGGAGAATAACTATTATTTAGTTATCACCCTTATGTTTATGTCATTCTATTTCACTACGCACCAATTTCAGTATTTTTTCCTTTGAATCTCTTCTACTGCCATTTGAACAAGAACTGTGAAATTTACGGCATTTTATTTTCACATAATTTTACAATAATAATCAAATACACATTATAAATTTTTCTTCAAAGCAATTTTAATTAAAAAAACTTCTATTAATAAATATTCTAACCTTTCTGCCCCCAGTTATTAATTACCTTAAAAAAAACCTTGACAATATTTTATATCTTTTTTGGCATCATAATTTGTCATAAAATTTTCTCTTTCCCATTTTTTACATTTTTATTTTATCTACTCACCCATTCAGTAAATATTCCATATACATAACAGGGTATTTGCCAATCACAAATTCAGCAAAGATGGCTGAACCTATCAGGCTTTCAGTCTTTAACCCTTAACTTCCCACTGTTGCATTTCTGCAACATATGATTTATTTTAATTTAACAGACTCAATATTTTTTTAAATTACCTACAAATCACTTATCTAAGAAAAAAAGATTACTGCAACGAAATACATGCTAATTTTGTCACTAGATAGCAGCACATTTTTTTCCAGAAATCACAACAATTATAAAAATCTCTGTTGCCTCAAGAACTGTGTTTTTGCTATAAAAAGAATCCATTATATTTTATGCTTCCTCTTGTTTATTGACGAAAACAATTACCAGGTAAGAAATTTAAACATTTTATGTTCATTTAAAAGTAATTTTGATTTTCTAAAAAAAAAGTTTGAAAGGAAAAAGTTTGAAAGAAATTTGATTTTAATTATATGTTGCAGGTCTGCAACATTGGTCTTTGGTTACCATTTTGACATGGCCAAAATGCGTATACTAACCCAAGATGAAATTGCTAGATATATGAATAATTTGGACAAATTAAGTGATTTAAGTGAGGATGGTCTTGAATATTCTGCTGATGATGTTCATTTTTTACCTGATTGTGTGTCATCTAATGATGATTCGGATAGCGACTGTGCAAATAGTGTTGTTTCACAAAATACAATTCAGAATATAAAAAAATCCGATGATGATGATAATAAATTTGATAGAAATATTTCAGTCAGTGTGTGTGTGTGATTATGGCAAAGCCTCGAGAGCTATCTGCCTACGGGGAGGGATGCCTTCGTGGAGGATTTTCTAAGGGAAACTGGCTTGTATACAAGTTACACATGGGGAAAACGACCATGCAGCCAGCCCGTTCGTGGGATTCGAACCTCGGACCGAACTACCAGTGTTCAGCGACTTTACCGCTCGGCCGCTGGTATATTTCAGTCAGAGAACCTTTTTTAAATTTAACTGTTAAGAATAATAAAACATTGTCAAAGAATATTTTATGGAAAAATCAAAACATTTCATTGATTGAAGAAGTAATAAAATTCCATAGAGATGACACGCTCCCAAGAGAAATTACGGATTTGGACACTACGTACCAATTTTTTAAATATTTATGGACGGAAGAGATCATAAGTACATTTATGAAGACAGCAAACGATATGCTATTCAAAAGAATCCAAGTAAGCCTTTGACTATATCAGAGAATGAAGTAAATCAATATTTGGGTATTTGCATTTATGCATCTCTAGTTCACCCACCAAAAATGAAAAAAAAAAAAAAAAAAAAAAAAAACTAATGAATTTACAAAAATTCAAATCTGAAGTTGCATCATGCTTATGCAAAATGGGGTACGATCGAAATGCTAAAAGAGGAAGACCTACTAATACTTCAATAGAACAAATGTCTCAGACTAAAAGATGCAAAGGGACTGCCTAATCCGTTCCATGTAAGGACATTCGTAGAGATGGTATAAATCATTGGCCAATATGATCAAAAAAGAATACGGTGCAAGTTTCCAAACTGCAAGAGCTACACTCAAACTGAGTGCGAAAAGTGTAGAGTAGGGGACTTTTTACATTACGAGTCAATAACTGCTTTAAAAATTTTTATTGTATGTAAGGCTAAAGCAATTTATAACAATGAATAATAAAATCCTCTTATAAAAATAGTTTTGTAATTTTACAGCACTACTGTGCAATGTTGCACATGGGTACACAACTTCACACTTAAGACTAATGTGAATCAACTTTGTTTTAGTTAATTTGCTAAGTCAGTATGTATACATTAAGTGATAAAAATAGAGAGCTGAACACGTAGCAAATAAATATGTGCTTACATGTCGAAAACTGTTGTCACAGAAACAGACAGAACTTTCTAGTAGACCGAATATTAGTTGCATTTAGCTAATCATGGCATAAAGAATTAGAAACAATCCACTAGAACCTAGAGTTTCTGATATTTGTTTTGACCCATATGGAAAATAATCACACAAAATGTGTCAAAAGCAAGAATATTATCTGGCATGTTTATATTTGATGCTAAAATTGACTACTGGCTTAGTAGACTGATTCCAAAAATACCATTCCATAAAATATTTAGGCAATCTTTAAGAATTCAATTCTACAATGTAAACTGTTTTTATAGATGTTCATATAAAAGAAGGAATGAAAAAAGCAACATTTAGTGGGAAAAAAAAATTTATTGCATACTCGAAGCTTCCTTCACTTCTCTACATAATCACCACCCTTCACTTCAACATTCCTCGTATCTGTTCACGAGCTTCAGAATCCCCATGTTCTGCCACCAGTTCATTAAGCCAGGTGGTCACTGCATTCAAAGTTCAGCATTAACATTTTTTACATAATATCACACAGATACAGATGCCTTTCTTAATCAGATTGTGATTGGTTATGAGATGTAGGTGTCTCACATCATCTCAAAGAGCAAACACCAGCCACTTGAGTGGCATTATCCCTCATAATTCAAATAAACGAAAAAATTCAAACACAAAAAACATCTCTCAACACAAAAGAACCCTCTCAACTCTCACTCAACACAAAAGAGCATGGCAAACATCTCTGGAATTATAAAAGTGATCTTTAGGTGGATTCCATACGAAAAGTCACTACAATCAATGCAAAATGAAACTTAAGAAAACTGTGGTAAGCCATCCAAAAAAGGAGGCGAATGCTTTCTACAGAAATTGTTTTTCTTCATAACAATGCCCACTCTCATACTGCTACTTTAAATCAAGAGTTGGTGGATCAATTCGGAGGGGAAATTTCTTACTATCCACCCTATACCCAGATCTTGCTCCTCGCGATTTCCACCTTTTCCCCCAAGGTAAAAAGAGGTTCCATGCAGTAAATATTTTGGAAGTGATGAAGAGTTGGAGAATGCAGTGACCATCTGGTTTCATGAATTGGAAACAGAAGAGTATGACATGGGAATTCTGAAGCTCATGACTAATGACATGAATGATTAATAACTAATAACTCGTGATAAAGCTTGTGGCAGATGTTTAAATGCAGAGAAGTGAAGGAAGCTTTAAGTATACAACAGAATTGTTTTTTACAATAAATATTGCGTTTTCCATTTTGTATAACTTAACAGTCTTTATTTTATCGATAACCTTAGTATGCTTATATTTACACATATATTCCTGGTAGATGATATTTGATCAAATAGATAAATTACTTAAATAAAAAATATATTTACCTTTATTAAATCAGTCAGCTTGTTTATAATTCTGTCTTCATCAGAATTCAATAAAGTTCTATTTCTTAAAGCAGGGGGGTCATTTTCCACAAAATTAAGCAAATGTGACAACCTAGAGTAAACTGTCTCTTCCAGACCAATCTATGTCAAAAGAATAAATTGTATCCTTCTTAACTAGATTTATCAGGGGTGTAAGTTCTCAGAAAAATAAATAAACAAAATAAAATTGCTTATTTAAATTTAAAATAATTCAGTGAAAAGCTTTAATTAACAAAACCCAAAAGAATATTTTTTGCATGGTGTTTAAAAAAAATTAATATATCTTCTCAAAACTTAATAGCTTTATGCATAAAAACAAAGTTTATACTTACAACTTCATCCATTTGGGTTGTCAGGTGATAAACTTTCCATCCATTAGCAAGCTGAAGTATACCTTTCTGATTTGCCAGTTCATTTACAGTTGGCTTTTTCTCTTCTATTTAAAGAGGGATGAAAAGAGGTAAAGGGAAAATAAATATTCTGAGACTTCACATTTATTTACAATGAGATAAAATTATGAGATTTAAACTCAGGCAGCTCAATTTTGCATCAGTCTAGAACAGGAGTTCTCAACCTTCATTGCCTCATCCCCCCTTTCACAACTACTATAAAGTCAACCCTCAAATTTAGATTATTTTTAATGCATTTTATAAATTAAACAGGAAAAAGTATAGAAAATATTGTAAATACCAAAACTTTTAATAAAAATAATTTTTTAATGGAAATAAAGGGCTGAACCCCCTCCCAAAGCATCAAAGCACATGCTTCAATCATAGATTTATATTTTCATGTTAAATTTCTCAAATAATAAAACTTAACACCATTAAATGACAAAAAAAAAAAAAAAAAAAAAAATTAGCCACTGAATAATAAATAATTTATTTCAGAAGCCATATTAATTAACTCCAAACTTTAATATAAATCACTGAAACAACAACTCAACTCAAATTCAGTAATACGTGCTGAATGATAACAATAATTTTTTTTAGTGCCATTTTATAAGAATTAAAGTAAAATGAATTAATCAGTCACAGTTTAGATACCCCAGAATGAAGTACTCTTTGAATTATTTAATTTGATGGTTATTTTTAATAAAATTAATATTATACTTTATAATCTCTTGATTATAAAGTATAATAAGATGAATGAGACTAATAATAATTTGGATGTGGAAAACAGTAAATCACCTGGTGGTTTTTCAATACAATTTATTATAAGAAAGTTTGACTCAAGAAAATTATATTTTTCTTCGGATTCTTCCGACTGCAAGAGTAAAAATATTGCAAACAATACATTGATTGGGAGGAAAAGAAGTTGTAACCCTAATAATAGGACCCAAAATTTACAAAAGCATAAGAGAACAAAAAGTTTTGCATACAGGAATTGAAGAAGAAATTTAATACCTGCAAAAACATTTATTGATTTTTAACATGCAAATGTTGTCAGAAGTGCAATAAAAAAGGGGGGAATATAAGATTGACAGAAGAATAACAAAACAAATACAACATTTTATATTTGTGCAAACTGAAATTATTTTCTTGCCAGCCCAATACCTTCTTATTTTGAATAAGAAGATGCTGTCATGAAGGCATTTTATACTAAACCAAGATCTCATTTCTTTACATATTATATTCGAAAAGACCAACATGATACTCCTTTGCAAGGAACACTTCACAGGTGAGTGATAAGTGAATATACAAATGGTTGTTTTAAAAAAGAAGTTATGTATTTGGTTGATCAGCACAATTGCTGTGTTGCAAGCAATAAAACAGATGACATACACATTATAATACATGTTGAGTCATTTGCAGTCTACACTAGCTACTACACCACCAGAGCATCTAAGACAACAATATTTAAATCCTGACTTAAATATTAAGAAAATGTATGAACTATATGTCATACAATATGAAAAGAAAAATGTAGTATCAGCGAAAAAAATATTACAGTAACATACTCTCTACCAAATTTAATTTACATTTTAAACAATCGTCTAAAGATACATGCCAAACTTGTGATTCCTAGTAAACAAAATTCAATCTTCAGGTGGTTAGGGGCTTCAGATAAGAAAAACTGAAAAGGAAACCCATTTCGGCTAAATAGGCTCATAGTCTTATGGCTGCAGATCAAATGGTAGCATCTGGAAAAATTTTTCATATTTTCTTTCGATTTGGAAAAATCTTTAGCCTTTCCTAAACTGATCACACCCATAGCTTACTATAAGCAAAATATATATGTTTACAATTTTGGTTGCTATGATTTCAATAAAAATATAAACCACGTGTTTGTTTGGCCAGAAACTGAAGGATCTTGTGGACCTCAACAAATTTCTCATGCCTAACAAAATCATAACATATTCAGGTTCATATACCAGACAAAATATAAATATCAAAACTGTCTGGAGTTCATTGAAACATTTTTAAAGTACGGAAATAAGAACCCGAGTCATTTGAAATGAAACTTTTGATAGGTGGACATAGCTATTTGCATAATGATTTAGATTTTGCTATTATTGAGTCACATGCAAAAAACAATTCAAGTATTTTTCACCAAATGATTGGGAGCATATAATCAAAACATGAAAAAAGAAAGCATTGTTTAATACAAACCAAATGACTAACCAATATTTTTCTCAACAAAACCTTTAGAAAATTTAGTCATTAACAGACAAGGAACTGTTACAAGGTTTCCAGGAAAATGGCTTAAAATGTGCTGGATAAAACTTGAAAAGTCCAAACCCCACCTCACACTATTCAAATGTGATTATAATGAAGATTTAGAATTTAATGTAATATAAGTAAATCTGTAGCAGGTAAACCACAAAGTTTGAAAAATGTAGATCAGCACATATGGACCTTGCTAAAATTCATTCTTCCTGTTGAAGATGATTACTATAATAACTTAATAACAAATCAAAATGACAAAACCTCACATACAGCTGATGAAGATGACACATTTATATTGATGCTCTTGAATTAATCACAAATAATATAACAGAATTAATAATATTCATTTTTATAAAAATTCTTTCATAAAATATATAATAATTAAATTTTTCTGTACCAAAAAAACATAAAAATTTGAACACAGAATTTATTACTTTTTTCACATGTCAAATCGATTGACTCAATAAAATAAAAATTGTAACATTACTGATGATAACATTTTGCCTTTCGTTCTTATTAATTTTATATACCATTAGATGAAAACTATATGTGTATTTATGCATTCTACAATATTTATTTTAATTTAAAGGGAATTTTAAAAAGCTATGTACATTATTTCATCGCAATTCTCCTCTTTTTGTTATATTAAGTTAATTGATTTGTGCAGTGAATGACACAAAAATACATGGAATTTGCTTCTATACCAACCTGAAAGTGTCAGATCCTAAGATTGACAGAAAAATAACAAAACAAATACAACGTTATCTATTTGTGCAAACTAAAATTACTTTCTTGCCAGCCCAACACTCAAACATAAGTACGTGATTCATTCCAACCATAATTAATTAAAATTAGAAACAAATCCATCAGAAATGTAGGTTAAACAAATACCACAAATAAAATACATTTACAAATGTTTAAACATATTTTTAAAAATTCTTCTAGTTTCTGTTTAATTAAAAGCACATTAATATTTCACGTCAATTAGAAGTACTATTTGCATCTTACCTTTAGGTTTTACATCACTATATCTAGCAAAATGATTATGCCTTGCTTTCCATGGTTGATGGTAACTGCTCAAAAGTGACATTGTTGGCCTCTTATAAAAAGTAACACATTTTGTTTTCTCCTCTTCTGTAATAAAATACTTGAATGAAATCTCAAGAATGTGAATTTTTAAAATTACTTAATGCAATAAAAAATTAAATAAAAAATCACTTTGTAACATTTAAAGATGCTCACAATTACACATTACCTCTGTATGTTGGTGAGACATTCATCTTCCTTAATCTGATAGTGAACACAAAATGTCAAACTTAAAATTTTATTTTCTCACTACTAGTGAGCTTAACAATACAATATAAAATTGAAGTCTCATTCAGTTCTGCAACTTTTTGAAACATTTGCACTATATTAATTAGTTGTAACTCCAGTAATTCTCCGCTAAGACATAAATCAATTAGATCACATAGAGCTCAAATAATGTTCAACGATGCATTTACCAAACTATACAAATGTTAGACGTTCATGCCCATTCTTATCAACTGCAACAAAATGAGGCATAAAGAAAAGAATCAACATAATCTTAATTGTTGGTAAAATATAAATAAAATATAATAACTTCAAAAGGGAAGGATGGAATTAGGACAAGTTTCCGTAATTCAATAAATTTCATTTATTAATGAGAAACATTTTTCTGTTAGGTATAAATGCTAAAAATTGAAAAACTAGGAGATCCTGTGATAAACTAAGAGACTGGCAGATGTGATGAAATATCAGAAGTTTCCCAGTAAAACTGGAACAGTTGGCAGCTATGTGCATATCAAGATGTAAAAAATAATGTTAAAATTACAACTTTCATTGTGATTGTTGAAATTTATGAAAATACAAATTCAAAGCAGTTTAAAATGCATTATACAACTTTTCTTTTTGCTGTAGCAGTCACAAAGAAAATAATAAAATGGCAAAATTAGAATACACAATTTGTTATAATTTAATTTTTGTAAGAATATAAATTGTTGAAAAAAATTAAAATTCTACTTGAGACAGACCGCATTAAAAATTTATGCAAAGACGCCAATCTATAGCTAAACATTTTAGCAATCAATATGCGAATGACACTGAGCACACAATATTTTTTTTAATTAGCTAATCCACATTTAACTTAATTTGTGAATGAAAAAATTAAAAATACTTTTTGTAAATTAAATACATATTTCATTAGAAATTTTAATTTTATTATTCAAATAAAAATACTGCTAAATCTACTAGTATATTTTTTAAAGTTAATATTTTAAATCACAAATAATCATATAGAGGGGAAATCAGAATCCATAAATCATATCTTAATGTGGTTCATGGAATGTGATTTATATAATGAAATAAAAATTCAATTGTTTTAAATTCTACAGACAATAAATTTTTATATCTAATGCATCCTCCGGATAACTTGAGATTCTTTACGACATACCTAGACTGATACAAATGCACTGCTACATAAGTTGAGATTCACAGATAGACATGGCCAAAAACAATGCATCAATTTTTTACTGGACATTCTTAAATATATATTATCAATCACACACATCATCATTCACGGGTGCAATATAGACCCCACAATTCTGCACAGCTTACATTTTAGAACAATGACAATAGCCAGCAGAGGCTAAGTGACATGCCTAAGCAGCAGCAAAATATACAAAAAGGGCTGCACAATTAGAAACAGCGGTATTTATAAACTTTGTGCTTTTACTTAAATTATGAACTGTGATTGTGAAAAATATTCACAGTGCTACTCTTACACAATGGCATGATGTGGAATAATTTTCAGATCACACACTTCAAATTCATATATTAGTGATTTTATGACAGGAACAGGACATTTAAATACATAATATGACAGGAACAGCCAAATTAAAATGAGAAACTAAAAGAACTATTGCTAAGTTGGTAGCGTTTTATATCTTACATATTCTCCCTTCAAAAAGAGCTTGGTGATAGAAGATTTTTTCTTGTTTCAAAATTATGCTGGCAAAACAAGAAAAACATAATTTTGAAGGATGGGAAAAACGCAAAATTGTGATATAAATATTTTTTTTAAATAACAAAATCTTGTATATAACACATTGAACAAAAATTGCAAATTTTAAAGTTATATTAAAATTTTCAGTCCAATTGTAAAAGTTTGCAAGTTCATTTTTCCTCAAAATGTCATAAAAAGTGTTGTAACTTTGGTGTGCCCTAATAATATTAATTAATTATTAATAAAATAATTAAAATAATTATTTACTTGTTATAAAAAATGCATATTTTCATATTTTAAAGCAATGTAAAATATACTCTAGAAATCAATAAACAAAATACAATACAATAACAACATAAACTTCCATAAAATTAGGCAGGCCCTCACAAATGAATCAGCATAGAGCTACTTGCTGATGGCTGAGGGATGCTTATCATTTCTTCCATAAGAGCAAATGATGTATTGTTCATTGATTCTACAATAGCAAAAGTCCTTCCTGCATGTGTCTATAATTGCAGTACTTTTGATGTACCCACAGCTAATTTCTTTTGCCACGGCAAAATCCCAAAACATCGAGTAAGAGTTGTTTCAAATGATCCAAAACTCAAACTGGAAGCTTGCCTTCAATTAAAAATCAAACAAAACAGCATTCAGCATTGCACTTAAGCCTCCAAGAAAGTACATGTCATTTATTCACAGTCATCTTTTCCACCATGTACAACTGAAAAGTCTTTGTTGCATATACTGCTTTGAGCATACAGAAATTTTAGATATAACTCTTATATACAGTCAAAAGTCATTAACCCGGACACCCATAATCCAGAATGATCTATAATCTGGACCTCAAAGCTACAAACTTTCTGCACTTGCGTCAACACATAATGCGTTCACGCATGCGCATAATACCTTTACACATGCACATATGCGTGTGCGCATGCACGTTTAATGTATAACAGACGGTATAAGCTAAGCTAAAATTATCTAATTATCTATTTCAGTTAATGTTGCAGATTGCCTTGTTCCTTAATCTTCGAATTGGATCCAGCTTATTATTTTTTGCAAAATCCAGCAATTTTACAAAAGAAAGCTTGAACTTTCGATTATGTCAAATAGAATTTCTGATGTTGGAGCTGCCAAAGGACCTGCAAAGCGAAAGCATGTTTCGATGTCCATTAAACAAAAAGTAGAACTGCTGCAAAAAATGGATAAAGGCATGAAGAAAGTGACAGACAGGTGATTTGTTTCTCTAACCATTCCGAAATCTGTTTATCAATTTCATGCTGCTCTGCGGAAGGGGGGGGGGAACGTCGCGATGCGCAATGAACTGGAAGTTAATCTGTCAGCACTATCCTCATCTTCAGGGCAAATGTTTTTATTTTATTCGGCTTATAATTCCTCATTAAATGTAGTGTTTCATCTTGATGTACTCAAATCTTTGCTATGATTTAAATCAATTTCCTCGTCATTATAAATATCACGAATACACGTCAAATAGTTTTCTGGTTGCAATTTTCTAATTTCGACTATGCGTAATGAATGACTTACGCATGCGCGTGTTGAAAGAAATGTTTAATAAAGTAAACAAATAAATATTAGGCTTTTTTTTTTTTTTTTTTTTTTTTTTTTGTAAATTTTGATACCCTTTAGATCATAATTGCTCTTTATTTCATAAATTACGGTTTCATATTTTTAATTTTATAATTTCTGCATGTCATCTTACCAGATTTAAACTGATGATCTAAAATTCAGAAAAACCGATAATCCGGAATTGCCGAAGTCCCGACGAGTTCGGATTAAAGACTTTTGACCATATAACTCTTAAAAATACGTCTTCAAATTCCTGACTTTTTTAGCCTCTTCTTTTATATTGGCATTATTCACAATTTTAAAAGCTTTCAGTTTCATCACTACTCACACGAAGCATGTGTTACATTTTGACCATAATCCAAATAAATGGAAGCAAATGATACACAGATAAATTGCACATTGGCTTCAGGGTGTTGTCAGAACTCAAGTCAGAATTTACATATCTACAATTAGCTAGTCTTCAAAAATCACAAAATCATCAACTTACCACGTGATACTTGATGTCATAATAGTTTTGCTAATTCTTGTATGAATAAGATGGTTCCCTTTTGCATAGCATTTCTCTTGTCCCACCAATTTTTTAAATCTATAGGTTTTCCATATTTTTTTCAGCTCATGTAGTTTTTAAGGAATTTCTGTAGAAATTATGGAAGAACTTGTAATAACTAGAATTTTTGATAATGCCACCATTCTCATGTCTTGGTGTACAGTAATATTACAATTACTAGTTACAGGAAAGTATACATACTGTTTGCTGTGAAAGTTCATGCAATTTTAATCTCAAGAAAAGAAATACCTTCTTTACTACATTTTAGATTTTTTACTGTATATAGGCATGAGGTAACACAAAAGGAAATTCATATTAAAAGCATCCTTTAAATATGAGCTCTGATATGTCTTTGAATAAGTTTTTCTATTTTCACACGTCTGCTTTTTAGATTATTAAAAAAAAATCTGATGTGAACACCACATGACTTCCTTGTATGGAATATTAAATTATACACATTTTTTCTTGCATTTTGTTTAAACTTATTGGATTTAATTATATCTACTTCTTCGCCGACAGCGCATAAACAACAATAGAATAAGTGCATTCTTTAAAATTCACTCATTTGTTTACCATAGTGACATTCTGGCGCTAGGTTCACTTAACAGTATTATATTTCGTTCATATTATAACTCAGATTGTAAAAAATTTGTATCATTTAAAGAATTATCTAATCGTTACCACATGTTCTATTCAAGTACTATAATAAAGCTAGAACGATATATAAAAGAAATTAAGCAAAACAAAAAAAAAAAAAAAAAAAAAAAAAACAGTTTTTCACAGACGATTGAGTATTTCTCATTCAATTAATTCAGTTCTCACTTCGCGAGAAGGCGAAAATACATAAAAACTCAAAAATATCTATATTAAAAATTACGAAGTAAACCTTAAACACTTCTTTCCTCGAAAAAATTCCAGAAAGGATTAAGCATGATTTAAATTGCAATAATAAATGAAGGTGTTTATCTTTATTGTTGTGAAGCTACATTTCTCTAGATTGGCAATAAATTCACTACTCAGCTGTTTCAAATGTAAACAAGCAATGGCCGCCATCAGAATAGGCTTAGCTGCACTTAAACAACTTTTAAATTGTTGATAATTCTAAAAATATTGCATACAGATTTACTAAAGGCATAAAACCCTTAACCTGAAGATAAAAACAACATAATTCAATCATTTTTAAAACAAAAAATGTACAATTTACTAACATATAAGAGTAAAGAAACTGAGATCACTGAGCCGGGTACCAGATTGGATATATTTATAAATATATTTATATATGTTTGGCGCGGCTGATTGAAACCAAAATATGCGGTGCACATCTACATGTTATAGTAGTCCTTTATACAAAATTTCAACGTTCTGAGGCTACTCATTTTTTGAGTTATGCGAGATACGTATGTACGTACATACTTTCGTACAGACGCCATGAAAAATTATCTTCAGAATTCATTTTAAAGCAGTTTTTTAGTTCAGAAAAATGTTCATTAAAACAGTATGAAAACAAGGATACAGATTATTGAGCTGGTATACATGCAAAAAGTTTTCAGCTAGCTACACATAGTTAAAACCCTATGACTATATATGAGTCTATATACTCCTTATTTCATTCAAGCACATTTAAAATATATTTTTTAAGTATTTCCAGTTAAAAAATTCACATTTTCTATTATTATGTGTATCTATATATTTTGGTATTCATAATTTGCAGAGCATATATTTTCATTGCACGCTATTTGTGTAAATACATTTATCATTTTATACTTTGATTTTCTGCTCTGTCTCTAACTTTTTATGGAAGTCATTTATTTCTTCAAAACAAACTAAAAATAACTATTTCAAGAATATAACTCACAAATACTTTCATTCCTAATTTTGCTGATACTGTATAATTTATGCATTCAAGAGGAAAGAAAAGAATAGAGAAAAGAAGGAAAACAGAAAAGATAAAAAGGGAGATGGTGATATTATAACAGTTAACAGACAGAAATTATTTGAAATTTTTTGTAAATAAAGTGTAAATAGCTGCCAGATAAAGTTAATTCTCTGAATGAAACACATTGAGATTATTTACCTTTGACACCAAGTTCTTCTTTTATTTTTACCTTGACATCAAAGTTATTTTCTTCCCCTTCTGATGAATGTGTTTCCATCAACTCATTTGCAGCTCTGAAAGTAATTAAATTAAAATAATGATAGCAAAAAGGTTTAAATAATTTTATGTATAACAAAAAAACTAGTATAATACATTTGGAATGAATTAGCATACAGCAGTTGCTTCCTTGGTTTTTTACGAGGTGATGCTTCAACAGGACGATTATCTTTCCCAACTGTATCAGATGTGATGTTTGTACCTATAAAAGAGAGATTATTTATCTTAACATGTTCCATGGTGAAAATGGTGGTAAAAAACAGAAAAAGAATATGATTTGGATTAAAATCCAAACTTTGTAAAACTCTCTTTTTTAAATAATCCATTAAAAATGGGGATTAGATTTCAAGAATACATTTTTGCAAATTACAAAAATGATAATTAAAAAAGTCATTGCCTAAATTTACTACAAACTTCACCGAAACAATTTTACATTTATTATTTAGCAAAATAAAAAAATTCAATATTTCTATTCATTCTAAAATAAATTTATGTCTCTTTCAAAAGAAATGCATGATTTCTGGATCACCAATTCCATCTGGACTCCACACAATTATAAGGGATTTCAAAAGCAATGTCTTGGCAAAAGCCTAACTCATACCTACCTGAAACAAGTCAATTGTAATATATTGTTTGAGTTTGGCTGACTGACAAGAGCTTATGTTGGTAAAAAGTGTGTATTCCAAATTAAAAATTCAAAGTTCAGATCCTGGAATACATAACATTTTTCTACACGCTATTTCATTTTGAAATAATACTATCCATTAGAAGTATTTTTAAAGGAATGACATAGAAGGTGTTGCTCCTAGGCAGATAGCTTTGCTTTTGTGTACTTTGCCATAAATCCAAATAACCTAACCTTCTGCCAGATTAGGCACTTTACAAAATCATGCAATTTTCTAAGCTAGACAAATAACAGCAGATACAGAATGTAAGTGTAAACAAAGCCAGACAACTCATGAAGATGAATACTCTTTAAAAATGAAGTAAAAATATACGTTATTAAGAATGCAGTGTCATTTTATTAAACAATTATAGACTGACCTTTGATAAATTTGATGCATCTTTTGATAAACACTCCTCTTTTTACAAGTAAATATTCAATCATGAATGATTCACATCAAAATTAACAAAAGTATAATAGGTATTTAATAAATGTTAATAAAATGTGCTCTTTACACTTGATTTTTTTTATTTTTATTTATTTATTTATTTTATTTTAATCTATGAATAAATCGAGAAGAATGCCAAAATATTTTATGTGTTGAATACTTTTTATGGCAAATACTTTCTTAATTGTAAAAAAATCTGCACAAATTAAATGAAAAGCACAGTAAATTAAAGCAAGATAAATAAAAATTTAATACAGTATTCCTATTTAGTTCTTCATTATTTCTTTAAAAATGTATTTTGCATAAATTTTCTCATAAAATAAAATAATAATAATAAAATTCTATATCAAGATATGTAAAATATGGTGTTAGGTTAGTCTTCACTAATTACAACACTGCTACAAATGTAACATAAAAATTATCCTAAATTTATGATAAACTTATTACATAATTAACTAAATCTGTCATAAACTAAACTTTACTCTTTAAAAATGAAGTAAAAATATATGTTATTAAGAATGCAGTGTCATTTTATTAAACAATTATAGACTGATTAAACTTGAAAGACCAGCATGCCAAATGATAAGTCTTGTTCAAGTCGCATGGAATGATAAATGAACGCTAGTATAATCTACATAATTATCCTTATATTAAAAAAAAAAAAAGTTGCATATTCTGAAATCTGAAAGCTTCATTAGATTCTGGTGGTCAACTGAACTCAAATAAGACTTTTAGATGGAGATTGGAGATTAATTTTGCTTACTTCTTAAGGAAAGGTTCAAGCTAGGCTTTTGTACATGCATTGCTTTTGAGGATCGTGTAGAGTTTGGAAGATAATGAAGTTGTTAAGATGATGCACTCACATTTTTAGAGAGAATTTAGCTACAACTTTTGAAATAGGGTGCATCACAAACAATAAACTTTAGTTGTAAATGCACAGACATGCATTTTTTAAATGCTTTTTCTTTTTAAACCAAAGCCAATCTACAACTGAATTTTGTCTACAATTTCATATGAAATATTTCTCTTACATTCATACATCAGTTTTACTTTAATAGCTTGCCATACAGTTTCCTCTGGGATCTAATAGGCAAAATACATAATTTTTGATTTTTTATCCAAGTTTTAAAAAAAAATGCTTCATATAGTATTTTAATAAAAAAGTACTTAAAATGTTTTTATTTACTTTAGACTGTTCAACAATCCATTTACAATGAGAAATAAATACTTGATCGAATGTGACGGCATAACCAAAATGCCTACCTTGAGATGTCTGGTTTCTGTGAAAAGTGACGTTTAAGTCAGAAGAACTCCCAAGAGGAACTCACAGACATCCAGGTAGTGCAAAATGGAGAGGCTGCTGCCTAGAAGGACACTCGTTTTTTAATAGTGTCGTGCAGCCATCACATTTAATTGACTTTTTAAAAAGACATTCCTTTTTTATTTTCTTCTAAAAAGACTTTTATTAAATTTCAAACACACAGATGTCATAAAATACTGCATTTCAAAAGATATGTCCACTCCTGATTTTTAGTATTTGGTGCATTACCAAATGCTGCATACGTAATCTCTTACACTGTACTTCAAAATTATCTGAATAATTCTGTATCATGTTGCAAGAAATCTGAAAAATCCTTTTGTTTTTAGAAAGGAAAAAACATATATTCATCTAAACACATTAATTTGATGAAGACAGCAAGCAATGTTGAAAAACAATTGCTGCTGAATGCTTCCAAATACACCATTCTGTTAGTCAAAAGAATTCACATCTCCAAATAAATAGATCTGTCACAAAAAAGCCATTCAATCTTGATGACCATATGGTTTCAACTGCCATTGTACCAATTTGAGAATGAAGCTATGCTCTTTCTGTAAATGACAATTTTGCAGCAGTATACACATAGTGAATGTAAATTTTTTCACTTGTATTTTGGTCACTGGTATTAAAAACTCCATAAACAAATGCTGTCCAACATATTCATGGCTGTAAAAGTAACTTATTACTGTCTCTCATACATTTTTAAATGAATTTTAATTGCCTGTTACAGAGAAAATTGTGTGATTTGTCATATCCTGAAATGAGGGTTCTATCAATGCCTGTTTAGGCAATACAGCATCACTTTAGGCAATACAGGTGTATCATGTTATGTTGCAATAATATGCAGTAACGATCTGAAGTCTGCAAATTTGGCAATACACCAAAATTCCAAGCTGATTCACTTTAAAGATTACTTGATTCAATAAAAACCCTTTCCCCCCCCCAATAAAACATTCCTAATCTTATCACGGGGGTAGGATAAAAAAAGCCATTTGGAGCAACCATTTAATAATAATTTACTTATTACTGCTTTAGTAAAACAGTTCTTTATAAAAGAGTATGCATTCTTTTGAAACAATTTAAAACTTACCTTTTAAATGTACAAACATTTGATAGTTATTGATAGTTAAGTTTAATGAAGAAACAGGCACATAGATATACAAGGGGCTGTATAACATAGAAACATTGGTTTAAATAAGAATTCATGAATGATAGCACACCAAAATACCTAAAAATCAAGAGCAGACCCATATTTTGATAGGCAGTATACCAGAACACTTTTTTTTAATATTAGCTCAAAATAATGACTTTACACTGAAACAAGAAGCTGTATGTTATGAAGTTACAGCTTTTTTAACAATCATAATCAATTTTAAACATTATACATATATCATTTGCTTCTTTATGGCTTTAACTCATATAATGTAAATGAAATCACATTAACAGTTATTTTCTGCCTGAGCTTTTCAGGCAATTCATTAGGTAAAACAGTACATACTTTTTGTAGCAATACAAAACAAGTATTCTGATTAAAAGAATTCCAGAAGAATAAAAATGAAGATTTACCCCAAACAAAAACAATTTAAATTATTATCAAAGTGACAAGATTTTTTTTCATACAAAGTATTTAAGATATTTATTTTTCAAGCTACATATTTAGATGTTTCAAACTGCTGTACTCTAAGATATCGTCCAGCACTCCTTTATTATTGTGGCCCCACTGCATAAACATTGTCAAAATCAGCGATAAATTGTCAACATACATCTCAAACCATCACCTAATGACCAGCAATCCTAAACAAGGTCATCAATCATGAGAGAGTTGAGTAAGCCACATATGCACTTTCGACTTTTGCCCCCTCCCTCAAAAAAACTCGTTTATATATATATAAGAAGGGAGGGAGATGGTGTATTCAGAAAAAGCAATACCTCGTTTTAAATATAAAAATTCAAATATGCGAAAATGGTTACAATACAATGGTGGCCAAAATAATAAAGAAATTTGACTATTATAAGTGATTATGGTTAAGACTTCTGAGTATTTAGTGATAATTTTGTGACATACATCGGCTATTTACCAAAAATCTTGGTGCTATTTTAATAACAGAGGCAGTAATTTTCTTAATTTGCTAAGCAACTAAATTTTCATAAACAACAAATCTTTTAAAAAGCTGTTATTTTAATAACATTAACATTAATGCATTAACAAGAAAAACATAAGGCAACAGCAAGCATAAAAACTTCATGAATTAAATTTTGCTAGTTACATAGTAATGATGCCTTTTATATATTTAGTCTCTTAATAGCTACTTCAAAAACTAGCATTTTATTATGCAAGTAATTGTTCATATAAGAAACTAAAATTTAGATATTAAATACATTCTAGAAACACTCAAAACTTCATATAATGAAAGCTCAATAATGTATTTCTATCTCAGACATTCACCAGTATCAAATCATTACTCATTCATACCCTCAGTCAGTGACCAGCCAAAGAAATGCCTCTTTACATTTCCTCTCATGCTAGAATAAAATGAAAACAAAAATCTAAATTCTTCATAGAGGAAACATACTTTAAAAACTGGAACTGACAGTAGTAATTTTAATATTAATGAATAAATTCAAATATAATTTTTTCTTTTAAACATGTCTGACAAGAACAATGCACAACTTTGAACTCACCAATTCTCCAAACTCAACTAAAAGTTCTTCAGAAAATAGTCATTTAAGGTCCACAGAGAACACAAATTCTTTGTACCCCACATAGATGAC